AAGAGCTAAAATCTCATTTGGTACAGAGCATACCAAAAGAAATCTTCAAGTGTGAGAAAAAGAACTCAGAGAGCTTCAAAGAAAAATATTCTGAGAGTTCAAAAGCATAGCTAAACAGAGCATAAAAATCAAGTGTTTTACTTGATACATTCAAAGAGAGAAAACACTCAGAGCGTTCAAGAGAAATCATTCAAGAGTGTTCATCTTCGTCAAAGAGACCTGCGCATCATTGAAGATCAACTACAGAGTCTCAGAAGTTGGAAGCAAGGGGGGAAAGTAGCACAGAGCTGTGAAATCCTGAATTGTCACACGGAGCTGTGAGATCCGAAGCAGCAGTGTCGGAGGCACTGGGCGTGATTAGTGCGGGCTTTGTGATCAAAGCACTAGATCACGGGATACGTTTCTACCGGAGTGTGGAAGACGGGGGGAAAGTAACGCGGAGTCGTGAAATCCTGGGATAGTAGCGTGGCGATGTGAAACCCGAAGCAGCAGTGTGGTGTCACTGGGCGTGATTAGTGTGGGCTTGGTGATCAAAGCACTAGATCACGGAATTCATTGTATCTTGGAACCAAGAAGTGGTGGATATAGTGAATCGCTCTTGGAGATAAGAGCAAGTGGAGTAGGAGGATTACACCACCTCGCGACCCACTATAATTGTCTTGTGTTCTTTACTGTTTTCTTTACTTACTACTCTTTACCTGCTTCACACAAGATATACTGCTCACATCTCACACACACTTTATCTTTATTTAATTCCGCTGTGCACCATACTCTAATAATCTAGTTAAGATTTTTGGTTTATCTCTGGCTTAGCAATTGTTGTGCTGTGCGAAAAAGTTTGAAAGTCTATTCACCCCCCCCCCTCTAGACTTTCACCTTACCTCTTTTGGGACCAATAGAGTTCATTACGGTATTGTTGCTATTCTTGTCTTGTGTTCTGTGTGTTGTTTTATTCGTTTCAACTAATATTGTAATATTTTTTCATGTATTTCTTTTTGGTGTTTTTCTAGATGTTTTATGTAGATCGGGTTGTGCATGGTGCCCGCGTTGTCCCTCGGTCTGTACCTGCTCTTCGTGGGTGGTCGTCACCTTTGCTACGTCAGCGTGAGTTCGTTGAGATTCGGAGTGGAGGGTTTGGCCTTGGTGGCATTGAACCCCCGGTTCAGGTGTGTGGTGGGGGGGGGGGGATGAAGGTGATAATATCCAGCCAGTTGAATATGGGCCTAGGGTATGGTTTTTTTTTTTTTTTTTTTTTTTTTTGTTTGTTGGTTTGCTTATGTTTATGTTTTAAGTGTGCACATGTGTTGTGTTGCGGGTGCACCTGTCATTCAAGGTGTCTTTGGGCTTTTTAATCGCTTTTATTTGTGTTGTTGTCTTGTTTTTGTTTGGATAGACATTTGGTGATGTTGTAATTCAAACAACAACGAAGATAGCGAGGGAGGTTTTAGAGTTGGTGGAGCAAGGGCCGGATGGTGCTTTCGGTGGTGATGTGCTTCGAGGGGTTTTTCATGCCATCAAGTCTCTTCGGATGATTTTTGCAAATCAGCGTGACGCGTTATCCGATGATATGTCGTCCTTCAGTCTGGGTAATACGCAGGATATAGCAGATCATGGTTGGGGTGATATTGAGGCTGTGTTGCGGGATTTGGTCCCGACAAATACTGGCATTCTTGATTCTGATGTGGTGGGTAGTTTGCCAATTTTGATTATATTAGTTTTATAAGGTTGTTTGGCCAGTTTCTTGTGTGCATTCGGCTTAGTGGTTACATTATGTGGGTTTTGAACTGTTTTTTTGGTTTTCTTTTGCCTTTTTAAGCTCATTGTTGTCTTGTTATTATTAATATTTTTTTTTTGCCCGTTAAGGTGGTCATGGTAAAGCATGTGGGGGCGATGCCTTGGGTGGGTTTGTGGATGGCGTGGTTTCTGGTGGGGGTGGTTCAAATGATGGTGAGCCTGGGGCTGGTTCTGAGGGTGCTCGGCCGGCGGTGACTGTTGAACCTGCGTGTGCTTCTCATCCGATCGCTACACCTGTGTCTGATAGGGTGGTACGTATAATGTGTTTTGCATAGTTAGTTAGGGATATGTTCCAATTTGTGTTTGCAAACATGTGGATTCTTCTCGGCGGTGTGAGCATATTAGTATTAATGTGGGTGCACATTGCATGTGGCCTTCGTTTAATCTATTTACTTGTGGAAATGTGGTGTTGTTCAATTTTTGTGTTCCGTAGGGTGGGGGTGCTGCAGTACAAGCTGGAGAGTGTGCTGTTCCTGCGCACGGTGAATCTGCGATGGCTACGCCGGTTCAGCATGGTTTGGTATGTGCTTTTTTTTTTTCGTGTATGCAGTGTGCTCATGAATTGACTGTGGTGTGTATGGCACTGTTCTCTGGCCATTCCCACGTGTGCACGATCGTATGGTCAAGGGTTTATAACCTTTTCGCGCGATATCCCACGCTTCGTGTGTTTTTTTGTGTTGTTTAATTATGTTATTTTGGTGTGCAGCCATCAATACCTACGAGAGAGGCCATTGGGTGTCAGTCTGCTGGCCCTCTGTGCCAAGCACCTTTGAAACCTTGTCGGGGTGGTTCTCGGGCGCCGAGTGGTGGTCCTCCGGGGGTGTCGCGCCTAGATATCGGCGCATCCGGTTCCACGAGATCTATGGCTTTGCCCGACTTGGACAAACCGGACGAGGGAGTGATTTGCAACTGGTTGTTGTGTGCTGCAGATGCGAACATGTTCGTTTCTGAATCTATTTTTTGCTATGCAGATTCCGTTTTGTATGGTTAGTTCATGTGTGTTTTGTTTATCTTTGTGTGTTGTAGGGACGATATATTGTTCGATGTTAGTGGTAGGGCTGCGCGATGGGGGGATTTGTTGTCGCTTGCACCCGGGTCGTTGGTTGAGGTTGCCGTGGTAGATACGTGGGCATGTCTTTTGAATTGTCGAGAGCGGTATAGGGCCCCTTCTGCCCCTTCCCGTGTTTTTGCATCCACTCTTTCCACGGTTTGTTTCTACTCCTTACCCTTATGATAAGGTATTTTTTCGTGGTTATGTGTTTTGATTTTGCATATTTCATTGTTCTTGAAGCTTCGTACAGTTGATCTGGATAAGCGGATTGCTATGTTTAAGGAGAGTCTCCACGGGGAGTTTGAGATGACGCCTTACCAGTATATTAATAAAGTTGACATGGTATGTGTGGCTTTCTGCTTTTTTCAGTGTACTGTTCCAAGCCCCTATTGTTAGTTATGTTGTGCACCCAGTAGCTGCCTTTTGTGCACTCAGCCCAGAATTGTTTTTACTTTTCGGTGTGGGATGCTTTGCTTGTAGTCATTGTATGTCTTCACCCATTCAAGGTTGTTGTTTGCAGTTTATGTTTCCCATCCTACGCCAAGGCCACTACTTTTTCTTTGCGTTGATTTTCGTAATATCCGGTTTGAGATTATTGACAATTCGACGCTTCAGTCCAACAAGCAGTTGAAGTATGGCGATTGTCCGGATGACTTGGTAGGGTTTTTGTTAAACTTGTTATACTTGTCTGATTGTGTGACCAGGCTTTTACTTGTTAAACTTTTTGTTTTGTGCCTTTTTGTTTGGTATTCATTCGACACTTGGAATTTTGCTGTAGTTGCACATGCTTATGGAGTTCTTTAAATCCATTAACCCGTCGAGGTTTACGATGTGTGCGCTTTTGGATGCGAAGCGTATGCAGATGAGCTGGCGGGATGGCAAGAACAAGATTGATTGTGGTGTGTATGTTATGCGTCATATGGAGAGTTATTTAGGCCAGGGAGTTGCCAGATGGAGATGTGGGCTTACCAAAGGTAACACTGCCCAGCTCAAGAAGCCAAGGTTACGATACATGAAGGAACTTACAACCCCCGAATTCAATTTACATAAGTGTCGAAATATCTCCAGGGCATATCATTCCGTGAAGTCTGTATCAGGGGCTCTATAGTGGAGTTTTAGTTCGTAGTTTTTTTGGTTTCGGATTTTGGCCTCCTTTTTGCAGTTTTTAGGCCTAGTGGTGGTATTATTTTTGATGGTGATCTTATTTGTGAATCTTAATTATGGTTTGTGTATGCCGGAACTGGTACATGCATTGTACTCATGGATATTATTATGATTATTTTTAATGGTAGTTGGTAGTTAATTTGTCGCTTGTGCAGCTTGTTAGTGTGCATTGGTGTGCACTGTGGGTCTCATCCGTGTGCATGTATTCATCCTTGTAATTCATAAAATTGCATGCTTCATTGGCAGCTGGTTTGTTTAAATCAGGGTAGTTTAATATCTAAATTAAATAAATTAGTTTTCATAGGTAGTTTTATATGTAATTGAAATAAGTTAGTTTCCGTGGGTACACTTTAAATTAGGGTTGTTTAATTTGATTGTGTGCGGTTATTGTTAATTCCATGGTTGCGCATTCACGTTAAATACTGTGCGTTCACACCTCAATACATTTCAAACATGGTTTGAACTTTATGATTTTCACAGGGGTGAGTAGTTCGTTATTAGCGTATATGACAACTACTAACATCGGGGTGTGCACAGTGACGGTAGATAGTGTGCATAGCTGGACCGGAATACTTGGTGGCGGTTAGCGTTTAAGGCAAATTTAATGAAAACTGTGTGTGCACAACAATGGTAGACGGTGTGCGTAGCTGCGAGTCTTAGTTATTTTGACTAAACTGGGTGTGTGCGCAATGGTGGGAGACGGTGTGCATAGCTGCGAGTCTTGCCTACTTGAATAAACTGGTTGTGCACATTGTTATTAGATGGTGTGCGTAGCAAAACAAATAAAGTAGTTGTCTATTGCCATACATGGTTATTAATAAAATATGTGTCCCTGCGCAAGGGTGGTAGGCAATGTGCATAGCTGAACAAACTAATTACCAAGAATGGGTATAAATCTAAACTTTGACAAGTATTTAATTGAAATTCCAAATGAGCTAGTATTCATAGGGATGTAAACCATGACGGGCTACTCGTCTTGTAGGGCTTTTCTTTATGGACAGTTCCTGCTGTTGTGCCCCGGCCAGTCACAGGTAGCGCATGTCCTCACCTTTTTCTTCCCTTTTTCAGTTGCTTTATCTTTGTTGCTTTTTACTGTTTTCACACTACCTTTGTTTTTTGCAATGCTTGGTGGTTTGATTCGGATCTCGGCAGGTGCAGTGGCGTTTAGTATTGATTCGATCACTGATTGAGGGGTGGTGCTTGCTTTGGTTTGTTGTCTGGCGCTTTGTAACCTCCCTTTAAGTTCTTGCATTGTTGATAACATTATATCCATTTCGTTTGGGCATCCATTAGCCAATCCCATGCAGTTGTAGAACTCATTCCAAAGTTGGTTGGCAATTGTTCGTAATTCATTCCCACCCTCTGTAGTACTGCATGCTTTCCACACAACATTGTACATTGGCTGTGCACACGCAGTCTTAGTCCATCGGGGAACAATATAGCATCCTGGTATTTCTTCCACGCCTTCGTTCTTGAACACGGCCAACACATGCTTACATAATAGTCCTACTCTGATGAATTTGTTACAATTGCATCCTGTTCTTTTTGTAGATTCTTCGTGCGTTACCTCAAATATTTTTTCCCCGTTTTCATGAACAATGTACATGGAATCCCCATCATCATTTGTCTTGCAGGTGATTTTTCATGTGAAGCTTCCTTCCCATATTTCTTCCTGGAAGTCGTAGAATATGTTTTTGGTGTACATTGCAGCAGCTTGGCGATCTATGGCCAATGGGGTTTTGGTTTCAGGGAATGAACTTTCGCCCTCGGCGTTCAGCTGTTTTTGTTTGTACCTCTGTTCTCCAATGGCGCGGTTGTATTGCATTATGAACTCTACCAAGTTGTTGTGGTGATTGGTGAATTTGCCAAATTAACTGTTCTCTGATTCTGACCGTGATGTCCCCCATGAATATATCTTGGAAATATGCAGGTATCCATGATGCACGGGCTTTGTACATTTGATCAAACCACCGGTGTTGGACAAGGTTGTACTCCTGCATTACCTCTTCCCATTTCAATTCGAATGCAGTTGCACTTAAAGTTTCATCCCATACTGCATTGTTCAGTGCCTTCCTAAACTCCATGTTTTTTGCTAGTGCATTCCCTACCTTGTCCCCCACTCTTTCCATGATGTGCCACATACAGAATCGGTGCCTTGTTTCCGGCATAATGTTAGGTATTGCGACCTTTAATGCAGGGTCTTGATCTGTAATAACACATCTTGGTGTATAGCCCATCGCATTTTTGAAGTTTTTTAATAGCCACTCGTACAACTCCACGTCCTCTCTTGCAATGAGGCCTGCCCCAAATGTAAAGCTCCATTTATGGTTGTCGACTCCGGTAAACGGTAAAAATACGAGCTTGTATCTGCATGGTTTATGTTGTAAAGTAATTAGTGCACACACATTTAATCGTAATAACAGCTTTGCAGACAGAAATACGTAAAACAGTTATAAAATTGATGATTCCTACCACAGTTAGCAATGGTTTTTTGGAACCACGATAGTACTGCCATGCACACAGGGATTCATACGAGTGCACACTGCATCCTTTACCCAGTTTAACATTTATTTGCAATCACCCATATTGTTAGTGGTATCAAAAGTACCTCATGCGTATTACCCATGCAAACTGTATGTAGCCGGCTACCATGCTCTAGTCCAGTGGATATTCATTATAATTGTAAGTCAGTCGTGTGACACCCTGAAATCCATATTCAATTAAGGGATTAATTGAGTAATTAATCCTATTTCAATTGGTGAATTAATTCCTAAAATCCTGAAAATTCAATAGTTGGGGACTAGTAATTGACAAGTCAACCCCAATGTCAAAGTTGTACCTTAAGCTTTGTAAGGAGTTCCCTTGTTCCTTACACTTCCTTATGTTAGTAAGGGTATTCTTGACCTTTCACTTGGTGTTAGTATTGTAACCTAACCTAGTAGACCATCTTCATTCTTTCCTTACACTTTCTAAAAATCTAGCTCCACCTTCTCTCTAAAAAGGTGGGTAGCTTTTCTTCCAAGCCAAGTTGGAGCCTTGCCAAAACTTCAAGAGTTGCTTCCAAGATTCAACCTTTCATATATTTGGGCGTCAAGGATGGAAAGATCTAAGTTCATCTTGTGTTTTTGGTTTTATCTTAGGTGTCTTTTCTTAAAGATAGGTTCTTTATGATTTTTTGGTATGTTCTTGAAGTGGGTTTGGAAGGTGAGGCTTGAGAGGAGCTTGTTGAGGTGTAAAGTGAAGTCTTTAGTCTAAAAGAGGTAACCCATGCTCTACAAAATCTATTTTGCTTACATATGTGATGATTTTTCTTGGATTCTACATGTGATTTTACTATGAAATGTGAGTGTTTATGCATTGTCTTGTGAAAATGCATATCTAGAGCTTGTGTTTAGGGTTCTTGTATGCCATTGCTTGGATATTCCTTTGATTCAAGTCATTTTGTTGTATTTGGTGAGATTTGGCATGTTTTGGACTTGAATTTGAGCTTGGTGTTGAAAATCCCCGAAGGGATTTATGTGTGGCTTCGTGTTCCCCGCGAGCAGGAGCACGGGTGGGGCACTACCCGTGTCCCTACCCGTGAGGAACAATGTGGCGCTGGGTATGTACCCCGCGGGCAGGAGTACAGGTAGGGCACTACCCGTGGTCCACCCGCGAAGAACAGTTTAGTGTTGGATTGGGATTTGTTCCCCGTGATTCTTTTGGCTCGGTATTTGGTCTTTTGACTTCCCGATGTTCTTTTGTGGAACTATTTGAGTGTCTTCTTGATGTTTCGTATGTCTAGAACTATATGGTAGGTATCCATGTAGGTTTTGGTGTCTTGAATCGTGCTAAGTGTTCAATATTGTGTTTCGTTGAACTGTGATGAGTCTTGTGTGTTCTTCGGAACTACTTTCGGTTTACTCGTTTGATAAGTATGCTAGTTCGGTGTTTAAATGCTAGCGTGTGTGTTGTTTGTACCTTCCTATTGTCGATGATGACTTGTGTTATTCATCGTTGTTGTTAGACTGTGATCCATTCCTTGATTGAGTATGGTTTCATATCTTTGTTGTGATCCGTTGATTGATTCCTGTTGTGGTGTGGTGTGTGTGGCTTTACCTGGATTTCACGATTAGTGGTATGGGACACTAGTCACCAAGGTATTGCAGTGGTCCTCGTGGTGGCCATGACGTGATTATGGAGTTTGTGACCTTTGTGTAAGGTTCATGTGTTTCTTGGGTGGCATGAGTTGCCGTGTGTGTGTACTATGAATCGGTGGTCTCGTTGGTGGTCGTTGGTGGGGAACGACGGTCCCAGGACGGAAAAGGTTGGACTTGGTTGTGCAGGGGTCCTGGAGGTAATGGTTGGAAGGAGAAATATGGTTGGGGGTAGCCATAAGGTTGGAACCGGGCATAAGGAAGGCATATCAACTCGTGATGGGTGATGTCACGAGGGCTTGTGTTGCCGTTGTTGTGAGTTCTATTCTTGTGATGTGTGTAGTTACAAAGGCATGTGTTGCCTTGGCATGTGTTGCCGTTGGGTGTGTCCTATTCCTTTGAGTTATGCATGTCGGGTGTTAATCTATTGTGTGATGATAAATTATGCCTTGAGTTTTCTTTTGAGTCGTGTTGTTCTTTGTGGTCTTGGGATGTGCTCCCGTGTTCTTGTTGAGAGTGTTGAGTCTTATATTTTGTGGCCTGTGTGCCAGCTTAGATGTAGAACTTTGAGACAATGGGTTTAAATGTAAACATTGCAGATGTTGCCTGTGCGTTCATCCTTTTGGTGAACGTGGCATAGCACCCCGTGTTCCAAATTTTATCTATCTATCTATCTTTCAGTCTTCCGCTGTGTTTGTTGTTTAGTTCAGTTATCTAGATGTTTACGGCTTTTAAATAGCATGTTTTTAGGGGGTGTTACAGTTGGTATCAGAGCCAGGTTTGAGCCTAGGAAGGGTTAAGTCTAGACTTTTTATGTGGCTAAGTGTGGTTTGAGACCTTTAAGCGACCCTAAGAATCTAAGAGTTAGGCTTAGGACTGTAGGTTGCACGGTGAGCTGAGTGTTGCTTTTTGTTCTTTGCTTGTTTGCTATCTTTTGGTAACCGTGTTGTTGTTGTAGAAATTTGTGATGCCTTCTCGTCCCCGAGCACGCACCCCGGAGACCCCAACGAAGGAGCAGCTCGCTCAGAATCTCCACTAGCTGACGCCGACGATGCAGATGCTCAGTGAAGCCTTGCTGAACAACAACCACGATGTGCCGCCTCCTCAACCTGCTGGGCACCGAGATATAGGTCGCTTGGTGTCGGGACATAGGCCGCCAACCTTCGCGGGTGAGGAAGACCCGGTGGTCTAGGAAGAATGGTTAAGGGTGTTCGACAAGATCTTCGCAGTTGTGGGTTGCCCCGAAGAGAGAAGAGTGGAACTGGCAACGTTCTACTTTTTCCATGAAGCGGATCTGTGGTGGATTCATGAGGGTCCGGCTTACCTTGAAGAGCCTGATTTCGACTGGTTCGCGCTTAAGGACAGGATGCGCGAGAGGTTTTACCTAGCACATGTGCGAGCCGCCATGTATGAAGAGTTTCTCCACCTGTAGCAAGGATCCTTGTATGTGGTCGAATACCACAAGAAGTTCTTGGAGTTGGCACGTTTTGCTACGATGCTCGTGCCTACGGAGCTCGCTAAGGTCGAGAAATTCGTGGCCGGTTTGAACTATGAGGCGCGAAAAGCTTTGACTGTGAGTAGGCCGAGTTCTCTTAAGGATGCCTACGTGAGTGCCGCTGATCTGTATCGCGTTCAGCAGCTTCAGAGAGGATCCTATGAGCTAGCTAGGAAGAGAGTCGAGAGCGGGGGTTCTTCCACCTTTAAGAAGCCACGACCAGGTTTTCAGGCCAAGAACGTGTCATCCTCATCTCAAGGACCTAACAGGATGGAGTAAGGGAATCAAGCTAAGTTGTTTCCATGCCGAAGATGTGGGAAGGTGCACGCGGGCCAAGATTGTCATGGCCAGGCGTTTAAGAGCTTTCGTTGCGGGGATCGTGGTCACAATGTCGCGGAGTGCCCCCAGCAAGCTGGTCAGAGAGCGTTGCCGCCACCCCCGGGAGCCGGAGGAGCATCGGGAGGTAGTTCAGGTCGTGGAGCAGTTAGAGCTAGGCCACCTGGGAGGGTCTTCGTGATGGCGCGTTCGCAGGCAGAGTCCGAGGGTTTGGTAGAGGAGGAGTTGGCAGGTAATCCTTACCCCTAGCCTATCCTTGTTTTTCGTGAGTATCGTGTTCTTTGTTGCCTTGAGTGTTATCTTGTGTTTCGTCGTTGTCTATTTGAGTTACTTAGCAATCCTTGGCATGCTTTTCTTGGTAGTGATTCTTTTGGAGATTAGGTGTAAACTCTTCTTGTTAAGTGACTTCCTTAGTTTGGCATATAAGTTTCGTTATGAAGTTAGCTATCCATCTTTGGAATGAATTGTGCTTGGGTTAATTCAACAATTCTTGTATTTGGTCATCCTTACAACAATTCTTTTGAGAACCCTCTAGATTTTCCAAGCATTCCTTGAAAATTGAAAATAGAAAACCCATACCAAAAATCCTTTCTTGTGTAGCTTAAAAGTCAAGCAAAAATATTTAATTGTAACCCTTGA